GGTCATGAGGGATGTACGTGTGCGTGTGTGTGCGTGTTGAACCTCTTTTGCAACGTAGCCAGCCGTGCTAATCGGATGACGAGGGGTTGTGGGAGTGCCTTCACCCAGCAGTGGACAGATCACGACTGACAATGACCGACACTTCAAACTCGAATCGGGCAGCCTGGGAGGAACTTTCTGGGAGAGTCGCTACTCGGGAAGAACCAAACGGTGGTCAGGGCTGTGTCCAAATGATAACTCTTGCTTCGTTTAAATACGTATGTATGTTGAACTTCTTTCGCACCGTACGTAGCCAACCGTGCTAGGACAAGACGCCCAGACATCTCCCGCCATTGTGTTAAGTGCCATCATTCTCAAAACTATGTCTCACAACACGCGGGTCACATTCATAAATATAACAGTGGACAAGCAGATTGTCGCCTTTTGGCGTCCTCTGGTCTAACACCGTTTGAGACGAGGCTCAAAAGAAAGCTGTCTCTGGTGTGGACCAATCAGTTTCAAGGACAAAGCATATGTTATCAGAGTGTGTTTTTTGTTTGCATTCTGACCACAAGTATTGTGGTTAATGCAGACGTGATTCCTTGTAAAAGTTGTTTTTTTGTTGCCAGAGAAATGGGGAAAAAACCTATTCAAGCAGATTCTCGTCATCATCATCTTAATAAATTCTACACGTCTCCTCTCCACTCCGTCTGCGTTAGATTAAGCACGACAATGTTACACGCCCAAGGCAAGTAAGTTCGAACCCGCTGAGCAACCACCAAACGCGCTTCGCCGCACGTGGTGGGCAGGCTCTTCACAAAGGCCGTGCGGCTCACGCCAGCAACGTGCGAATCGTTAGCGCGCGTTCTTTTGGGCCGAGAAACGTGAAACTTGGAAGTCTGAAACTGCACCGGCAAGCACGGGCCACGGCGGCCATCGCTGCCAAACCCGCTGATTACACCACGCTTCTCGCCATCGCCATCGCCCCACAGTTGTTGCGAAATCGACACCAAAGCCTCTCCTCTTGCGTGTTCCTTCTTAAGAGCATCCCACACCAAGAGAGACCACGCGCAAAATGTTACGCGCGTGCGCTCGCAAAGTACGCAAGCGCGCTCGCACTCAATTCGCCGTGCGCGCGCACACCGCACGCGCACGCACAGCCCTCCCTGAGCGCCCTCGCGAGTTCTGCTAGTGACTACATTCAGCAGGAGCAGGGGGTGGCAGCGGCGGCCGTGGCGGTGGCCACCACCCCCCCGTGCCTCCCGCTCACTGTCGACGAGCTGAGGAGCGCTGCTCATCCTCCGCACTGAAGGTAGAGTCGAGGTTGGGTCGGGCTAGGAACTGGGCCGCACGGCTCAATCTGGATTTGGGGATAGCCACACGCAACGCGCGCGCGTGAGAGAGAGACAGAGAGGGAGAGCTTGGCTAGGGCCGTGACCGTAGCTCGTTAGGTCACAACCCCCTGACCCGCTTTGTCAGTGCAGCAGAGCGAGATTCTAACACGCCCCGCCGTGGGGTTGTAGTCCGAGTTGTTCTCTCGTCGTCTCTGTGTGGGGGAACTCATTTTTGGATTCCAGGTGGAATTCTGTCGAGGAGTATCAATGGGACCCGTATCGACCACGCGCCGCATCCCGCCAATCCCTAATAAGGCACCCACACCCATACCGGTGAACGTGGCGCACATACATCCTTAGAGTCTGACAGCAATAAATTAACCTTCCCCGAGGGTTTGCGTGCGACGACTGTGCGTGCGCCTGTGTGTATGTGCACGCGCACACGTCTGCAGCTGTGTTTACGGGCGCGCGTTTTTGCGTGGGCAGCGGTTCGCGTGCTGAGTTTACAAACCCAACGAGCCGAGTTGGATACCCGCTCACGGCCAACACCAGTGACGTTTATCTGAACCGGTCCTGGGTCCCCCCCACTAAGTCGACTCAGCTTAAAATTAGTAACCTGGTGCGGTGTGTAAAAGCATCGCCACTGGGGAGACAAAGCGGTCTGGCATGGTGCTGGCCACCCACTACCTCGTGTGCCATGCTAACCTTCATTGGTGCTCGCAAACAGCACTTAAGGCTATACGGGGGGGGGGGGGGTGGGGTCATTGTCCTTGTATATAAGTGTGCATAGTCTGTGCTGGGGTACACAAAGGTATGTGTCCGCGCGTGTGCATGTCGGCCTTCATTGGTGCTCGCTAACAGTACTTGCCCCAAAAGTCTTAAGGCAATACGGGAGATGTTTGTCTTTGTGCGTGTTCGCGCGTGCGTGCGTTTCATTAGTGACTCAAAGTCAGGTTATAAATACGGGTGGCCCTGCCTCACAGGCACAGACGGGGACGGCAGGGGTTCAACGGCGACCCCCGCTCTGCCGCCCAGTGGGAGTCCCCCCTCTGGTTTACCCCGTTTCACTAAATCTGGGATCCCCGCTCGCGACTTTGGGCTCGGGCACCGAACCCTAAAAAAAAATACATCGCGGTGACTTTAAAATGGACTGGCGGCGTTTTACGCATGATGGAAAAGTTTGCCCTCTCGATTAACAAAAAAATATATGGGAGGGGTGTGTGTGTGTTTATTTTTTGTTGTTGCGCTGACCCCATTACAACGTTTAAAAAATAACTGCGGTACCCGTATCGCTCCAGCATGCTGGGGGGGGGGGGGGGGAAACGCAAAAATGTAAGGCATTTTTACGCGACACACAAACAGCATTCCTCTATCCCTCTATGGGGCAGCCCCAGCAGAGGTCACGCACTGACCCGGGGGACATCGGCCAGAAGCCACCTCGGGGTCAACCCTTCTCCACGTGTCCTCTGGGCCCATATCCCACCCTCACTCTGCCTGTGCCACCACAGCGTGGCATGGCCACGGTGCCTCTCTCAAGTCGAGCTCCACAACCGAGCGACCAGTTGTGCAACCGAATCACTGTTGAATTTGCGCAACTTAATAACTCGCAACTGCTTTGTCCACATCTCAGCAGGTGGTTGAGCAGCAAAGGCGTGGCCAAAGTAACTGGCCACGCCCCTTACAGCATAGCCTCACGCCTTGTATGGTTAAGCTCCACCCCCCTCACCACCTACAAAATCAGGATCCTAACAACCAATCACAGTTCACAAATGTGTCACGTGTTGAAATACGACAAATCGCAGAGCAGTCTGACAATTGAAAGCGGAGTCCACCTCGACTTTGAGCAACCTGTCGTGCGCAACTGCTCGTGACGGGCAACAGATGTCCACACGTGAGCCATTCAGTTGCATGCAACCAAGTTGCAAACACAGATCGCTAAGGTGGGGGAGACAAAGCGTCGGCGGCTACACTGAGACTTCAGACCACAGGGCCATACGGCTGCCTGACAATCAAGTGTGGGACAAGCCAGCAGACATTCTTCTTCTGTAGTATTACGGTCCGGTTATAACTTTAATTACATCTGTGACCTCTTTTTGGTTTTAGGCATAATTGTTTTTCCATTTAAAACCATTGGCGTGATGGGTGAGCGAACACGTCAGCATTTAAAAACAAATCCACGCGATTTTTCTCTCTTTTCGCCATTTATGAATTACTCTTTACGCAAATGGTTCGAAAAGTAAAAAAAACACTGAAAGGTTGGGAAATGGAAAAACTAATGCAAAACAAAAGCGAGAGAAGAGACGACTGGCCGAGGCTGGGCACCGCGAGGTACAGAACTCGAGCACATCCAAAAGGAGCGTTACAGTATTCGGATAAATGCGATGAGAACGTTTTAACTAAACACGGACCAAACATTTCTTTTTTTTTGTGAAGACTGCATGATGAAATGATCGAGAGAGAGAGAAAAAAAACGCCTACGTCTAAATGAGAGCGAACAGAGAACGGAATTACGAGAGCACTGATGGAGCAAATGGCGACGATCAACGATGCCTTATATAGAAAAAAAAAACAATAATCGGTGATTGTGATCTCAGCCACGGCTAGAAATCGGTGACCCAACCACCCCCCCAAAGTCCGCACGGATGGGTCCTGGCGGGTGGACCTGCCCCATGCACACAAACATATCCACACAAACACCTCACGTCAACACGCCTACATATTATTATTATTAGAGATATATACTTTATCGTTTTTTGTCATTTTTGTGGTGGGTTTTTTTGGTGTACAACCAGCAGGGTTACGGTTAACAATGGAGAAACGTTAATGAACAGACCACACGCTGCTGATGAGTCTCAGGATAGTCAAAACCAGTTCGGTTTGCCTGGTAGGCCAATAACTTGTTGGACTAAAATGAATAAAAATGCTTTACGCGATTGAACAGACCGACGTCTGTTAATTTTTTTTCAAGAAACTTATATTTATTTTTTTATCATAACACCGGTAACCTCCTTGAGAAATCTCACAAAGTTAGAAATTCAGTTCGTTACATTGTTCTCCGAGAGGAACTTAACAGCCACATTCCAGTGGTAAATAAAGCACAGCGAGAGAAACTGTCTAACCCCGGGTAGGAGGAGGAGGAGGGGAGGGGGTTCGGAGGTCAACTTTCCAACAACCTCTCGGGGCCCCTCCGGTCGACTTTCCACTGCTCTCACCGCAGTTCTCCGACGCGCTCGTGGCAAGTCAAAGGGCGGTGCGGAGCTCAGCGGTAGTGTTGGACGAGTGTTGCAGCTGCCCCCCCTTTGGGGGTTCCCACCGACACGTGGCTACGGGATCAACCGGGTAATGAGCGGAGCCCTCGAGCGAGTCGCGCTGGACCCGAGAACGCGCCGACCAAAATAAATCTTCTTGGTTCTTTCGGTAAAGTCACGTAGAAGGAAAATAATAAAATAAAAATAATAAAACATAATAAAATAATTCTCACGACGTTTCGGCCACAACGCAAGCAGCCGTCCTCAGGTGAAGAACATGTCTGTCGATAAGACAGTCTGACTCTGTCTTATCGACAGACATTATCGACAGACATGTTCTTCACATGAGGACAGCTGCTTGCGTTGTTGCGTTGTGGCCGAAACGTCGTGAGAATTATTTTATTGTTTTATTTTTATTATTTTATTATTTTCTTTCTACGTGACTTCACCGAAAGAACCAAGAAGATGAATCCCTGCAGTCACGAAAGCTTGAAATCGAGACCAAAATAAACTCACGCGGTCCGTCAGCTCCTTCGAATCGTGCCAGTCTGCGATCATTCTTTTGGGACCAGAGGTCAACAAAGGCGCAAAACTCCGCGGCAATTGCTTGCTCACGCCACCCGCTGCTGTCGGAAGGCCTCCGCTAGAGGGCGCTGCGGAGAGCCACTCGTGAGCGGCGACGGGGGGGACGTGCGACGACCGGGAGGTGACGGTGGCGCTGCGGTCGGTGTGCGTGCCACGGCGGCGTGCATGGTGGCGCTAGCGGGGGGGGGGGGGTGGGCCACCAGGGAGGAAGGATGCTGGTGGGCACGCGTGCCAATGCACTCTCCCTTACGTAAGTTTGCACAGAGGTACCGAGTCTCACATCGCTAAAATATATATATAAAGTGAATTTATATATATATATTAAAGGGAAGCGACTTAAAAGAAAATAAGTATGTTGTTTAGTTTGTTACAATCATAGTTCAGGTCAGTTTTTCTGGACGGGGGGGGGGGGTTGTCTGTTTACGGACACGCCGTTTGTGCATTCCGAAAGGCTGAAGAAGCGCTCGCGCGGCCGCCCGAGTGGATCTGTCAGTGGGTGATCAATTCGACAAAAACGATTCTTCTCCGACGAGTACTGAAAAAGCACCACGCACACAGTCGCTGGATCGCGGCGACGCGCAATACAAGAAATGCTTCTCTCCTAAGTGACTGTGTTTTTTTTTTCCTTCAAAGCCACATCACAAAGCAAAAAACTCGATATTGCAATGCAAGTCCACGTGTCAAAGGAAGCAACATTCGAGCGAACACGCACACACACACACACGAGTGTCTACAGATGTTCCGCGTGGTTTTTCGTTTAAGGCGTCGTGGGTTTCATGAGGACCCTTCGCATGCCATTAGTCTCGCCGACGTCCGTCTCTCTCTCTCTCCATGTGTCACTCCGTTAGTGCATCCTTGTATCTGTCCGTGCGTCTGCCCATCTCGGTGTCCCGTCCGTGCATCCGTCCTTCAATGCTCTACGATGTCCGTCTGCGCGTGTGTCCGTGTGTGGGTCGCTCTCTAAGTTAAGCAGCGTTTTCTTAAAGCTAATACGCGATCCAGCACCGAGGCACCTGTGACCTCTGGGGGGGGGTGCGGTTCAGGGAAGTGAGGAGGAGGGGTGTGATGTGGGGGGGGGGGTCTTTGGTGCTCGGCGCCCATCGTGACTGCGCGACAACGCTCGCTAGCCTTTGCCTCCCTCTCTCTCTCCGCGAAACAAAACAAAACGTTTTTTTCCCTGTTTTTTTTCGTTCACACGCGTAGAAAATTTTCTCTAAAAATAGAATGTCTCTGGGCGCCACGGGAGCGGAGCGGCGGTCAGCTCGGCGAGCCATTGGCGCACGAGCGGCGGGGCCCATTCGTCGCTCCAACGAGAGCCGCCCTCCTCCATCCCTCTCTACCCCCCCCCACACCGTGTAGTGTCGTCCGAGTTGCCATGTGAAGCAGACTCGCGCGCATATCGCTTTAACGGCACGCGCGCGCGCTCGCAGCTGCGCATCCCCGCACGCGCCCGCTCAGCCGTCTTAAGGGAGTTCAAGCAGCCCTCCTGGATCTTTGAGTGTACTTAGTTTCCGCAGCAATTTCACAATAAAAAATAAAATAAAAAATAAAAGCCATCGCCGTACGTGATTCTAACACGTGGCGGCTGCCCAGCCGGTCACGTCGCGTGTCAATTAAAAAACTAAACCGCCGCCAAACGACAACAACAACAACAACGATGGCGACAGTCGGCCTTGTGCATTCCGTTAAATACATTCACTTAAACGAGGCGCAACGACAATCAGGACGTCAGCAATATCCCACCGGCCGTGGCACTTCCCCCGTTTGCCAGGCCCCCCCCACCCCGCACCTCGCCGCCCGCTGAGCGAACGGGGATTGTGCGAGCATAGCGGATCCGACTCTTTCCCAGCGACGTCGCGTGTTACGCTTCACTCTGCTCCTTACCGTGCCGCCGTCGCCACCGCGCACACATTGCTACGGGGTGCGTCCTGACCCGTCCCTTGCTGGACATCCGTGAAAAAGAGCTTTTTGTAGCTCATCGGATTCCTCCTGCAGTATAAATACAGATTCTGATTCTGAAGGGTGACAGTTGTGGCTACACATGTTTTCTCCTCAATGCCTTACGGCGGGGGGGGGGGGGGCAGGGGGGGTCACGGCCGGTGGGGGTGACCCCGCTCGGCGAGAGGGACCGATGGTGGGTCAGCGCGAGGCCTGGAGGTCCGTCGCAGCAACAGCCGCAGGATGGACGTGGAGTTAGATGCCGCTTAGAGAGTTGCCGAGCCGAAAGACGACGTGAAGAGTAACCCCCGGCCGCTTCGCTCGGGGAAACAAAGTTCGTTAGCGCTGTGCAACGCAGCCACCGCTTCTCCCCTCTTCCCACCCCTCCCCCTTCGTTACGAAACGGTGCCTTCTGCCCGTGCTGACGCATGCGGTGATGGAAAGCGTCGGTGGGTCGGCTGCTTGGTCCCCCCAGAACAGAAAATAAAAAACGTCACGAGGTTTTCGTTTCAACTGTGAGCCTCGTTGGATTATTATCGTTTTTATTATTATTGTAAATGTTTTTTTTTTATCCCTTAATTCATTTTCCGGGGGGCGACCTCTACACCCCCCTTTCGTCGACCTTCTGACCTCAGCCCGTTGGCCTCCGATCTGCGCTGTAATGTCGCGCGGGCGCGCACGGCCCCGGCACGCGACACAATGAACCAATTTATTTTGCTGCCGTTCTGTTCGCCTCTCGACACACACGATAAAAACTCTCCCCCGCAGAAGAGAGACAAATAAAGCAATAAATACTGAAAATCAAATACGCCTGGGATGCTAATTTAAAACAGCCTAATTCGACGGGCGACTGGGAAAGAGTAAAATATCCGGCAACGCAAAATAAACCACACGCACGGGAGACAACGCGGCGGAAACTTATCGTGCGGACGGCGCTCGCGGCACGCCGCTAGCGCTCTCCGACAAGGCACGTGTGCGTCGCTTCACTCCTCCTCGACGGGCGACTGAGATGCGGCTGGGCTGAGTGGCGGGCTGGCCGGCGCCACGCCAGCTTCCCCGTACTGCTGCTGCTGCTGCTGGTGCTGCTGCTGCTGGTGCTGTTGAGCGTCAGGGTAGTGGCGCTTGGCGTCGGGCTCGCCGGCATCCTGCCCGCCGTCTCCGTCGTGCACCAGCCTCTTGCCGGCCTGCGTCGCCAGCAGCTGCAGCGGATTGGCGGCTCCTGGAGAGGGGAAGCGCACTGGAGGAGGAGGCGGCGCCTGTAGTGAACAACCGGCGTTGGGGGACTAGTGGGGCTGCATCAGCAGTACGGGAACCAGGAGAAGGACCGTGTTAGCGTTTGGGATAGGGTTGGGGATAGGTAGGGTGGTGCAGTTCGCAGAACTGTGCGCCTTTACTGAAAGAAGCATTTGAGTTCGATTGCTGACTCTGGCGCGACTTTGTGTGTGGAATTTGTTCTGAATGGGTTTCCTCTGGGTTCTCCAGTTTACTCCCATAGCTACAGACATATGGCGCAATTTACGTAGGCCAAGCATCCCCATGTGATTTTCCTGTGTACACAAGTAATTATTATTATTATATGGTTGGGATTAGGGGTAGAGATATGGTTGGCTTTCATTCATTGCCAGGTCGCTTCTGAACAGCTAATAGGTCTCAGTGGGCTTCACCTGGTAAAATATAAAAACATGTTTTAGTGATTTGCTTACCTTTCCTATACTTTGCACTCCGATCGTGTTTTTGTATAACTTGCTGTTGTAACGTTCTGACCCGTCCCCACTGGACATCCGTGAAAAATAACTTTATAGCGGATTCCTCCAGTTATAAATATTCAGATTCTGAAGGGCGATGAGAGCTTATGGCTATAGATAAGCTGTACTTTATTTTGCTTCCGATTGCCTCTTTTAATGCTTCCTCCCTCCCGCCCCCCCTCCCCTCGTCAGCTGGCTCTCCCTCGCTCGAGGTATCTCCTCAACACACGGTATACGATCCCAAAGAGCGTCTCTCCCCAAACCTGCCCCCAGGTCTCCCCCATATGTCCATCGACGCGGCCCGGCCGCAAGGCCCGGGCAGGCCGCTTGCCCTCCTCCCTGGCTCGCTGCGCCCCACCGGCCCCCGTCCGAGCGCCCCGCGCCGACTCACGCTGGGGCTGCAGCGCCGTGGCGCTGTGGAAGCCGTTCTCCGCGTGGTGCTGCTGCTGCTGCTGCTGCTGGTGGTGCTGCTGCTGCTGCTGCTGGTGGTGGTAGGAGGAGGCGGCGCTGGGGGCACCGAGCCACACGGAGCCGTGCGGAGGAGCGCACGGGGGATTGGGCCCCGCCGTCTGGATCACGGACGTCACGGCGCTCAGCACGGGTGGGCGCAGCGGCCTGAGCTCTGCGGCAGCGATGTTGAAGGCGAGCGCGCAAGGACACACGCGCGCACACACACACACACACAGACACGTGCACAGAGACACACGTGTGAGCGAGGATGACCATAATTTGTGCGTGATGGTTTATGCTCCTTTACGAGATCGGCAAGGTATTGTGGTTCGTTTGTGGCGAGCGCTTTCGCGTGTAATGAGTGCGAACTAATAACGTGTTCGTTTCGGCAACCGGACGCCCATGCAGCTCGATGGACACGGTCGCCAGCTATCGCTCGACTCACCTTCTTCCTCTTCCTCCTTCCTCTCCTCCAGCGTTTGCCGCAGCACGGAGTATCCGCCGTACGGCGAAGGCCCGTCAGGCCCGGCCGCAAAGTAACCCGACAGCACCGCGTGCTGGGAGTGGCCGCTGCCCTGGTTCAGGTGGGCGGGCAGCCCCAGTGCATGCTGGGAGTGGGAGAGCGGCTGCGCAATGCTGTACGCGATTGGTCGAATGAAGGTGCCCGGCAGCGGGTGCTGGGCTGTGAAAATCACGGGGTGGCTCGACACGGGAGAACCTGGCGACGAGGGGAGAGCACAGGGAGGAGGAGGAGGGGGAGGGGGGGGAGGAGGGGGAGGAGGGGGGGGGAAGTCAGGGTCACATCACGTGCGGTGTGACTTGCGTTGAAACCGCAGCCATCACTCGAGATCAAGCCTGACTGTGGATTTTAAATTACTATTAAGGCTTTCCAATGCAGCTTGAATGCCTTCACAATATCTCTCGTAAAGTTAATCCAATATTAACAAAACTTTGGTATAAAGTTGTGCTGCTGTTAGGGACTTACATCCTACACAAACCCGACCAAATTAACCAGAGGCTTGCCCAAAACCTTCCAACAAATCCTGACAAGCGCAAGCCTTTACCCCCCCCCCCCGATGATGTCACCACGCGCGCCAGGCGCCACGCGACGTCATCTTGCCCCGTTCGGATTGGAACGCAACGTGACGCGCGTCGGGCGAGCGTTCCAGAGCGCAAGGACGTCTGTGCAAGAAGCGGCACTCGCCGCGTGGACCGCCCCCCTCTACTGGACACCCGCGAAAAATGGAGCTTCGTGGCTCGTCGGATTCCTCCAGGACGAAAAAAATAAATCGATCGAGATTCCGACTCTGACCTGGCGCGCTCTGCGTGTAGCGCACGTCGTTCCGTGGCGCCGGCAGCGGCTTGGGGTTCCCCGGAGCGAGGGGGGGCTCTGGCCCCTCGAGTGGGGCCGGGGAGCCCTCGCGGGAGAGGCTCTCGGGGGTCTGCAGGCCGCTGGGCGGCTGGGACAGCAGGCCCGAGTGGCTGGGCGACGCGGGCGCGCTCCTGCCAACGGGCGGGGGGCGCACGGCGTCAGAAAAGAACGGCGTGCGTGCTCGCACGCGGCTACAACCATTAGAGCACACGCGTGTGCAGCGCTAGAGTTATCAAACGATAGCGCGCGCACAGCGACAAACATTACAGCGCATACGCAGTTGCTAGAATTATCAACCTATAGCAGGCACACAGCAACAAATATTACAGCAGGCTTGCGGCGCGAGAGTTATCAACCGAAAGCGGACACACAGCCCGCGAACATTACAGTGCACGCGAGGTGCTCAAGTTATCAACCCATAGCGCGCACACAAAGCACACAGCTGCAAACATTACAGCACACGTGCGACGGCTACTAGAGCTATCAACGGATAGCGCGCACTCGCGCAGAGCTACGACCATTACAGCGCATGCGCGTTTGGGGGCAGGTCGGGAAAACATTGCGGGGAGGGGTAAGATGGGTGGGTAGGGGGCAAAGATAGATGGTTGGAGGGACAGGCACGGTGACGGAGGACGAGAAGGTAGGGGGGGAGAGAAGGGGTGGGGGGGGCTGCAGTGGGGGGGGGCTGTGGGGGGGGGCAGTCACCGTGAGGAGAGGAGGCCAAAGGGCGTGCGAAAACAGGAGGCCCCGCGCTGCCGCCGTTTCTTGAAGGCCTGCTCGGTGAGCTTCGCCTGGCACGTGGGGTCGATGCGCCAGAACGAGCCCTTGCCCGGCTCCTCCTGCGAGCGCGGCACCTTCACGAAGTAGCGGTTGAGCGACAGGTTGTGCCGGATCGAGTTCTGCGCGCGACAACAAAAACAGAGATCCCCCGTTCAACCTTGGGGCAAGTGCTGTTAGCGAGCAACTATGAAGGCCGTAACAGCACAGGGGGTGGGTGGCCAGCACCGTGCCCGGCCGCCTTTGTCTCCCCAGTGGCGATGTTTACACACCGCACCAGGTACTCATTTAAGGCCAAGTCGACCTAGGGGAGGCCCAGGACCAGTTCAGATAATCATCACTGGTGTTGACCGTGAGCGGGAATCGAATTCGGGTCTGCAGGTTTGTAGCGCATTGCGCTAACCGCTACACCGCCGCTCCCCACACACACACACGCACATGCACCGTTACGTTGCGGCGCTCTCTCTCTCTCTTGGGCTTGCGAGCAGCCAGCAGCCACGCACTCCTTGCGAGCGGATGGACAGACACGTACCAGTACACGCAATTGGGGGCGATGGGTGGACGAAGAGAAGAAGGACAAACAGACAAATGGAGGAACGGACTAACAGATAGATGGATATATGAACAAAACGGATGGACGGAAAGACGGGACAAACAAACAAAAGACAAACGTTCGACGTGCGGACGGACAGAGAGAGAGACAGATGGACAGGTGTTCGTGTGGACAGAGCGGACGTATAGATAGATAGAGACAGACAGATGGCGAGAGACGAGACAGACGGACAGAGAGCATGATGGTGGTAACGATGATTTTGTCTATGGGACTCTTTAACGATGATGATGATATACACACATGATGATGATGTTGGTGGTAACGATGATGTTGTCTATGGTGACTCTTTAACTATGATGATGATGATATACAAACATGATGATGATGGTAGCGATGATGTTGTCTATGTGACTCTTTAACGATGATGATGATATACACATGATGATATTGGTGGTAACGAAGATGTTGTCAATAGGACCCTTTAACGATGATGATATACACACATGATGAAGATGTTGGTGGTAACGATGTTGTCTATGGGACTCTTTAACGATGATGATATACACACATGATGATGATATTGGTGGTAACGATGATGTTGTCTATGGTGACTCTTTAACGATGATGATATACACACATGATGATGATATTGTCTATGGGACTCTAACGATGATGATATACACACATGATGATGATGTTGTCTATGGTGACTCTTAAACGATGATGATGTCGATGCAGTCAGGAAGAGATTGAATGTCACGGCGCCTCGATCCAGATTCGTTTCGCCGGCACTATGACGTCACCCCGCACGCGCGTCACGCTGCGCCGCGCAACCCGGAGTGGATCCCCCCCCCACCCACCACCACTCTCGATTTCGGATCCGGATTTCGCGTAACTCGCGGCCGACGAGAGGACCTGGAAAACGCTCGCCGGACTCGCAGAACTCGGCCTGCGCGAGCTGTCGCTGAATTCGACTAACATCGCTCGACACGAGTTGTCGACCGGTTCGAACGATACAGCAGCGACGTATTGAACCAAAAAGTTTAACTCCGCTCCGGCATCCAGCGGCATTCGGCTTTCGAGACTCCGCCGCGGGGTTTCTTTCCCCCCCTCTCCTCTCACCACCGCACCGCACCAGCTCCTATCCAGACAGCGAAGTCATCATCGCTTCTGCATCAGCAGCAGTCGCGACAGCAGCAGCATCAGCAGCAACAGCATCAGCGGCAAGAACGAGAAGGGAAGGAGGAGATTTGAGTCGAGACCCAAGCTGACGGGCTCTTCCAGCAGCAGCGACAGCCCTTGACAGAGAAGCGGTAAGCGAGGGAGAGGCGGCAGACTTGGAAGGGAACTTGGGCCGCGTTCTTCGCTGTCCGCCGGGGCCGCCTCCAACCAGAAGGGAACTGAACGCCATCTCGTCCCCTCGCCTCGTTCACTTCGTCGATCCGCAAAACTTACAATCTCCTTCGCCGCGCCCCCTTCTCGCCCATCTTGTCCTCCCAACGTCACCGCCTTGAGTTTATCGTCTTAGCTATCTGCTCGTATAACCTCCCACCAGCAGCAACAACAACAATAACAACTCCCCATTTCACCATCTCAATATCAACCATCTCGTCCACCTCATCCGTGGTGTCCATCCTCCATCTCTAACCACGCGTTTCACCTCCCAACGAAACCGCCCAACGTCGTTATCCATCCCACCGCTCTCCTCTCCGCCTCTGCTCAAAGCTTTTACAAACACCCCCCGCCTCTTCCTCGACTTTGTAAATCGTCTCCAACCACGTCAACACCACCACCAACCTCCTCTTGCTTGCTCCCATCATCATCACCTGCAATCACCACTCATCACCTTCCTCCACCATCATCATCTACAACCACCATCCACCATCATCACCTGAAACCACCACCCATGAAGGCCGTAACAGCACAGGGGGTGGGTGGCCAGCACCGTGCCCGGCCGCCTTTGTCTCCCCAGTGGCGATGTTTACACACCGCACCAGGTACTCATTTAAGGCCAAGTCGACCTAGGGGAGGCCCAGGACCAGTTCAGATAATCATCACTGGTGTTGACCGTGAGCGGGAATCGAATTCGGGTCTGCAGGTTTGTAGCGCATTGCGCTAATCGCTACACCGCCGCTCCCCACACACACACACGCACATGCGCGTGTGTGTGTGGGGCACCGTTACGTTGCGGCGCTCTCTCTCTCTCTTGGGCTTGCGAGCAGCCAGCAGCCACGCACTCCTTGCGAGCGGATGGACAGACACGTACCAGTACACACAATTGGGGGCGATGGGTGGACGAAGAGAAGAAGGACAAACAGACAAATGGAGGAACGGACTAACAGATAGATGGATATATGAACAAAACGGATGGACGGAAAGACGGGACAAACAAACAAAAGACAAACGTTCGACGTGCGGACGGACAGAGAGAGAGAGACAGATGGACAGGTGTTCACGTGGACAGAGCGGACGTATAGACAGATAGATGGACAAAGAGAGAGACAGACAGATGGCGAGAGACGAGACAGACGGACAGAGAGCATGAACAATCAACGGTCCGCTCCGCTGCAGTCGCGGCCTCACCTGCCAGCCCTTGTCAGACATGCGGTAGAAGGGGTAGTTGTGGGTGATGTGCGCGTAGATGCCGCTGAGCGTGAGCTGCTTGTCGCTCGCCGACGTGATGGCCTGGATGATGAGCTGCGCGTACGAGTACGGGGGCTTCGAGCCGTCCTGCGTTGGCGGACACAGCCGGCGAGCGCACGTCAAACCGCACGTCAAAAAGGCACGCACGGACACACGCACGGACACACGCACAGACACACGCACGCAAGTGCAAGCGCGTGAACGCCCACACGCAAACGCGCGCACATGCGGCACGCTAACGGAAACACAGCGACAGGCTCACGCGCTAGCGCACAGCCACCCAGATGTATTTATTATTTAAATTGTTTTAATGGAGATGTATTTATTATTTTTATAATCTTTCGACACACGACGGAGTGAGCAAGGAGGAGGTGAGAGAGTTGCGGCAGTCTTTGCCACTTCTGATCGGATTCTTTCGAGTCACGTGACTTGTCGCACCGCTGTCCGGTTAGGTCTCCGATGAGAAATGTTTTTGATGGCTGTGCAGCGTGGCTGGGTGGCACGTGCTTGTTGACTCCAGACGGCACTGGCTGTAGTTGTGAATGGCGACACTAGGTGGTGTATCGGTGTGCAGGGCGGCACTGGATGTGACACGTGGCCGTGGAGGTTTGCTGCAGGGCGGCACGATGCAGACAGACGGTGGCACAAAGTGACTCTAGGTGGCGCTGGGTGTTGGTGCCGGGTGTGCCACGTGGTCAAGCAGGGTGGCTCGAGGTGGTGCTGTGTGTCACGTGGCAGTGCAAGGTGGATCTCGGTGGCGCTGGATGCGGGCGCCGGGCGCGCACCTTGGGGCTGTCGGCCTGGGCGCCGTCGCGCTCGCCGCGCTCCTGCTCTCGCTCCGAGACGGCGCGCGCCGCGTACTCGGCCACGAGCTGCAGGTCGGGCGCGAAGCCGCGCACCAGCCGGTAGCCCGAGGAGCCGGCGCCGCGGGGGCTCGACGGGCACGAGTTGGCGGCGCTAGCGCACGCGGGGAGAGAGGACACAACGCGAGAAAGTAAGCACAAAGAGCCGCGCACGCTTAAGCGCCGGCGCAAACGCGAGCACGAACGCGACTATAAACACAACCGCTAAAAACGACTGAACGCAAATGCCAAAACAGAAACAATAACATGTAAACGATAACACAAATGTAAGCATTAATGTAAACAAAAACACAAGCGTAAACACAGACACAAAGCGTAAACATTGGCGTAAAAATAACACAAGCGTAAACAGTGACACCAGTGTAAAACACAAACGTAAACACGGACGCGTAAACAGACTCGGCAGAACGTAAACACTCATGCGCAACATAAAACGCAAACACCGACACCGACCCAGACGTGAACACAGACGCGCACAACCAATGGGCCCCCCCCCGCCCATTTAGGAGGCACCTCGTCGGTGTGGCCGGGGAGGCTCGTGCGAGGTCGAACCTCCAAGCAAAAAAAAGAAAAGGTCATCGCGTTCGGCGCCACCATCGCTTCCTTCCCTCTGCCAGACAGATCCCCGCTGCAGATCTTAAGTCTCACCCGACTCGTGTAGTTTAGTTTTTTTACGCCGTGGTCGTGGACACACCGACCCGATCCCGCGTTTACTGGGTCCACTGCCCTGTGGCACACTTGGACCGGACTGCGACAAGGCGGCGATGCCCGAACCGCTCCCTTCCCCACCCCCCTCCTTCATCGAACCTGCGCTGACCAGCGTGGTGAAGTACGGTCAAACAACCCCAATGGCTTGACACGGCGTGGGGACGGGGGGGGGCTTCATCCGTCGGTCGAGTGACAAGTGGCCATAAAATGATCACGGCCATCGTAATAAAACCGACTGCGGTGGAGCGCGACTCGCCGTCCCGTTGACGCTGTCTGGGAATAACATTAATCTCGATGAAAGCGGTCAAACATCAGTGCGCTCGGCCATCAATAATTACCATCGCAGCCCATCGGCGAGCCGGGTAAATAATTTCGGACGCACGTAAATTAAAATCTCCGTTCATCTGCCCTTCTCTCCCAGTCGCGCCGCGGCCGCCCCGAACAACGTTCCCGACCGATCCCCGAGTCTGCGTCCTCATTTCGAGGAGAGCCCGTTCCTCCACCCTCGTCAACTGACGGCCACGCTTCGGCGTTCGGCTGGGGCGGGACGGCGGCTCGTCACCGCGACCTGTCGGTCGATCGCCGCTCTCGCTTCATCGACGGAATTATTAACGCCGCCGTGACGCGCTCGCGGCCGCTTTCACGAACAAATAACGGATCGCGATTTGCGGGAAGGCTGCTCGCCAACGGTGCGATTAGCTTCAGTGAAACAACACAGAGCCCGCGAAAATCCAGCTTATGTGGCATTCTCAGAAAACATGAAAACCCCACATCCTGTTCCAGGTTGTTCTGTGTTTACGGCATACATTGTTCATATTCATCACAGTCCACCATCATCATCAATTCAATTCAGTATCAACATGCATCTCACTGGCAATCGCCGTACATCACCAGAAAATCATCGGCCGTCTGGAACGCTCTTCCTTCCGATGTTAAGAAGTCACTGGAGTTATGCACTTTTAAATCATCTAGATTGAAAACTAATTTCTTTAGAACTACTTTTAGTGTTTATATTTTTGTCCTGCCACCGCACCGCCGATTAGCACGGTTGGCTGCGTACTGTACGAAAGAAGTTCAACGCACACATACACACATTTAGCCACATTCGTGTGTTACATTGGTACGTCACATTTGAGATGTGGTGTAAAATGTCCATCAAGAACCTATGAAGGCCTATACGGTACAACGCGGGGGTGGATAGCCAACATCACGGCCGGACGCCTTTGTCTCCCCAGTGCTGCTGTGTACATACTGCACTATGTAATCATTTGGACTGGTTCAGATATTCGTCACTGAATATATATTTAGTTGCGAGCTTGGTTCGTGCAAACCAGTGCCCCTCTATCGCCTTTAAACGGACCATTGGGGCAAGTGCTGCTGGCGAGTAGCCGCAACTATGAAGGCCGGCACGGCACACGAGGAGGTGGGTGGCCAGCAACACACCTGGCGGCCTTTGTCTCCCCAGTGGCGAAGATTTACGACACACCGCACCAGGTACTCATTTGAGGCTGAGTCGACCGAGGGGAGGCCCAGGACCGATTTAGATAATCGTCACTGGGTGTTGGCCGCGAGCGGGAATCGAACCCGGGTCGCCGGGTTCGTAGCGCAGCGCGCTAACCGCTACACCGCCGCTCCCCACACGCGCGCGCAATACACGCAGACACGCACGGAACACGGAAAGCACGCATGTGTACACAGTACTGTATATGACCGAGCGGTGCCCGATGCGATCTCATTCCTCTCCCTGGACATCGTGTTCCCCCCCTGCCTTTTGTGGCTTCCGACTGACCAAACGAGCCGAGCCACTTCACGTGCCGGCTCCCAGCCCCGCGGCGTTTTCTCGCAACGCGGCGGCAATGAACTCGCCACAGCCTCGCTCGGCCACCTCCCAGCGGTCACCGCCGCCGGCACCCAAACCCGACTCTCTCCCTGCGAGCGTCGCCACCTTGTCCTGGTTTTTTTCCCGGGATCGTACTCTTGTCGAGGTGGCGAACACACTGGGGAATCTGTACGTTTCCCCCCACCCCCGCTCTTCCGGCCCTGCAAGATGGTCTTCTTCCCATGACAAACCCCTGTTTCTTTTTATTTATTCGTGGGAGCCCACAAGGTCACGACCCGAGGGCTCTGGGCCCACCACTGAATCCCTCGACAGGCAAAGACGATGACATCTGAGTAACCCCAGTGCGACTGGGGAGGTCACGGGTCGAAGGCTCGGCTGCGTGCGACGATTTCACCCCTCCCCCACTCTCGCCCGGACGTGGTGCAGCGCATCCGACAGACTGTCACAACCTGAGTTTGCGATTCGATCCAAGAAACGATGAGTTTCAACGTCTCCCTTTTGTCTCGTCTGTGCCTCCTCTTCTCGTCTTCTCAGCCACGAGTGCCGCGTGTTTCTATTCTGTGCCGACTTCTTAAGTCGCATCCAAGGACGTACGTATGTTGAACTTCTCATGCGTGTATGTACGTTGAACCCCACCGCGCTAAACGGAGGTGCGGGGCGCGGAGGGACAAACTAAACACAAAAAAGCAGTTCTAAGAAATGAGTTTTTCAATTTAGATATAAAAGTGCAAAGCACCAGAGGCTTCCTAAAATCGGAAGGGAGAGTGTTCCAGACGGCCGCAGAAGCTCATCCGAAAGCCTCGTCCCACTGCCTCCTTCCCTCTCACCCTCGCTCTCCCCGAGACTCCTTACCTCCTGGACCAGCAGCTTAGAGACAATATCCCGTACCCTAACGTCACAGCGCTGAAGCGTCAGCCTCACGCGTGCGTACCCTTTGCATAAATCGTAAAACAATTACCGTATTGTCCAGATTATAAGAAACCCTTTTCAGCCGCCCCAGTACTTTAAAGCAAAAGTTGGGGATGCGTCTGATAATAATAAATCGGGTAGGGGTGTGTGTGTCTGTGTGTGACCATATTTGTACGATTTTATCAATACCGGGCACATGTTTGGGCTGCGTCGTACAGTCCGGAGAAATACGGTAATTGATTGCGATGTGGAGTACGATCCGATGCACGAACCATGGGCGTAAGAATCGACTACGAATCATCGAACCGACACATCTATGTAGGACTGCCAAAGGGCCTCTTGCCACCGTGGTATGATGCATGTATGTATGCATGTAGAACTTCTTTTGCACCGTACGTAGCCAACCATGTTAAATCAGAAACATAACAGAGGCCTTCATCCAGCAGCGGATCATTCACGGCTGATGATGCCGACGATCACAAATTACCACCGATGCATATCACGAAAGCTGGATGTTGTTTTTGCGGGTGGCTAATCGGCATTCAGAAAGAAAAAAAACAATTAGACGGCCCTGAAACGTGACGCATAACTCGGAGACACATTCACGACCATCACCATTATCATCTTCTTTACGAGCGCAATTTCACAATTAAGGACGTGGGTCACGCAGCGGTCCACTTCACTCCTGGGGCTTCAACGTCCATTTCGGCGCCGATGGCTCCATTACGCCAAAAGCCGCGGCGCTCCCCGTACACCGTGCCACACACTGCAGGCTCACCCCATTTCACCTCCGGCCGCAATTTCAGGCCACCGCTTCTGTCGTCTGGCACAGCCGCAGAGCTGGGCGGGCCGCTGCTTAGAATGTGCACAGCGTGAAATGTGATTTTGTAGCACTCCGACGCGTTGTTGTTGTTGTTTCGGGACCGTACCACGCCGTCGTTCGGCTCAGTGCGGTGTGCAACACGCGGCACAACAACGGCACAACGCAAACGAAGCAGCAAATACACGGCGATAATAAAATGTTATCTTTTAGTACAGATTCATCCCCGGGCGCAGTGCTTTGCTCGGCGTGCTACGATTCCCGTGACGAGGGTTCGATTCCCGGCCACTGCTAACGTCAGTGGCGGGTGACCTATGGCCTGGTTCGGCGAGCACCCTCCCGGCTACCGCTTCCTTCGCCAACCTCGCACCGAACACCGCGAGTGCCGGTTGGCGGGCGACACGGCACCGGGGCAGCGAGGGCCTTCTTCGTACCAGCAGTGGCCTTACCAAAGTGTTGGGAATTATTCCAAAAAAGATCATTTAGCCCGGATTTGTCACCGAGACCTCTAATTGCTGATCACTTTCAAGATACCGACCTCAAGAGGTTTCATTCCATTCACCGCTCATACGCCAAGGTTACGCCAAGGTTCTGCAGACGAGCCGCCCTTCGTAACTGTGAATCTGCAAGGGTGATGTATCCTGTCTTTGGAATAATTAATAACCACCGGTGTAATTTCTTCGTTCTCAATAGCATTCCGTTGTTTGATTAGTCTAGCCACGTTATTCCCTCTGTAATCTTCCACCATTGTTGCCAAGAGAGTTTCTCTAGCACATCGGGTACTGCTTCCAGTTGAAATCAAATGTTTACGTCTTGA